ATGAATTCAGCACAGGACAGCATTCCAAATTGCTCTTACAAGGTTTCCTTTATTATTTTTATTTGGTTATGCTCTGACTCTCATCCAGAATTGTACTTAATGCCCTCATCTGAAGTTGTTGAAATAGCACCCCATGGCATAGCGTGACAGTGCAAGGATATTGCCTTTGGAAGCTGCTAATGGTCCATGAAAAGAAAACATCACAAAACAGGAGAGCAGTTGTTCCAAAATCATAAGAACAAAAATCTTTACACTTTTAGCTCATCACCTTCCCATTGTCAGAGGATCAAGAATGGGAAGAACATAGTTTAGAGCTAATGAGGACTTGCAGATCCAGATGGGTTACAAGACAAAGATCCAATAATGAAAAACCCTACATTATATGAAACAAAACTGTTTAATATTTTTTATCTTTTACTTGCCTCTCAAACTTAATGTTTGTCATATAACATTATCCACAAGGTATCATTATTCCCTAGGATGGGAGAGATGGACAAGTAAAGTGTACAAAATTAGTAGAAAGGGTTGTAAAAGGCCAATCAAAAAAGCCTCCGTCCTGGTTACTCTGACTTAGACAGATATTTCAGTAACCCCCAAGGACAGTGTGACACAATTCAAAAGAAGCTCTCTACCTCAATTTTTATAAGCTTAGGAGTACAAAAAACAGGGAAGGCCTAATTTGTTAGTGACTCTACCCTGGACTTACCTCCCAAATACTCCAGCAGGAGTACTACAAAGGCAAAGCAATAATCACGTGTCCAGTGCCAACAGGCAAGCTATGAGAACTTATGCATTTTAAGAAACCAGTTTGTCCTAATTCCCCCAAAGTGGTAGTTTTCCCTCACTGTGGAACACACTTGTACAGGTAAAAACAAAGAAAAATCCGATGTGACAATAATAGCGGGTCATTCATTTAATTACTCTCTCCCTACTCATGAGATTTTCCTTCATTTTTAGATTATTCCTGTTGTTGGAAATGATATAACTCTTTAAATTTTGAGTAACTTTAGTTGTGAGTTTGTTTGTCTTTGCAAGGGGTAGGGACTGGACAGGGGAAGAAATAGAGGTTTACCTTCAACAGACAGTTTACTGTGGGTCTGAGTTTTGCTGGGTGAGGCCTGATAAGGTTCAATCCTAGGAAGAAGATTCCTAAACTCTGAGAGTTTAACATCTACATGTTGGGAGTAGCCAGAAGACATAGGAGGGATAACTGGACATTAACAGACATTAAGCCCTGGTGTGGTAGGAAACCCCTGATCAGGGAAAAGATTGATAAGAGAACCCAAGAATGAGAACCAAATTAGCATTGAAGCCTAAGGAATCAATAACCAATAAGAGATCAAATACTAAATTGTGTAATATAGAACCAATGAACAAGGATTTATTTGAATTTCTTGACATATAAATATGTGCAAAGTCTGGTAAAAAAGCATGGGTGGATGGAACTATTTCCATGGCACTTCCTGACCAGAATAAAATAATGCCTGATTCTCTAACACTTAGAGGAATAGTGTTGGAGGGGTTTTTCTTCTTTCTGAATTTCAGTGATATTATGGCCATCATAAGTTTTGGCACCTGCTTCTGCATCCCAGGGAGCACAATAATAATAAGGCACTAGCTAAACGCCTTCATGTTTCCTACCAGTCTACCTATTTACTCTTTGTCGGAAAAACAAGTAGATACTGACTTCTTGGTCACAGAATAATAATACCGAGTTTGTGCGAAAAATCATGCTGTGACAAGTCATTGTCCAAAGAAGACAGAGGAGTCCTGCAACTTTATTTTGGAGTCTATTAAACCTGTGTATTATTCTTTAAATTTCAAAAGTTCAGACTGTGCTCAGCTCTGCAACAAACTAGTGTGGTGTGATGTTCATAAAGACCCCCACATCCATTCCTCCAGAACCTGATTGCTCTTTTCAGATCAAGTAATTTTTGAAGATGTTGGCACCCATTTGTCCTAACATAGTGGAGTCTTTCTGTTTGAAGTTACTTTAACTTCAGTCTACCTTGCAGTGTATTTCACTACAAAGAGAAGTACAACATCCTTTCAATATAACAATTACTTAAATGACTTACTATCATAAAATTTGCCATGTTTTCTTTTCCTCTCCAAACAGCAAAATGATAAAATAATAATAACAATAATTAGAAGGAAAAAATGTTGCCACAGGAGACAGTTACATTTACTGATTTCCCAGTAGAAATTAATTCAAAACAAATTTACATTCTACACTTAAAGAAGATATAAATAATTCATGTTCTTATATCATGAGTATTCTGTATGTCATACACTGGGGTACCTGCAACTTTTCAGTTTATTGGTTTAAAATTTTAATTCAGGAAGTGATTATCATGTTATTTTGTGCTTCTGTTCCACTCTGGTAATGTAATAGTCTTCAACTGATTATGTTCAATTAAAATGTATACAGTTTTGCCATTCCTAATTTTCTAGCTTTTAATTTAATTGCTGTAGGCTTCAATTTTGCTTATGTACTATTAACTCACCTTGCTCACTGATTCTGCTCTCAGAAATAAGAAAACACTACTCCATAAAGACTGCAAAACAGGGTTTCACTCCTCTTAAACCACTTCCACATAAATGTCACTCCATCTGTTTGAGACCAGTGATTTCCATAACTCCTGTGAGCAGAGCCAGGCCCCATTGTTTCAATTTCTAACAACCATTCTTCATTCATATAAACACTGAGCACCCTTGCCCACTAGTGCACTCCATTTTCCTTTGACAGGCCCTTCCCACAGCAGCCTGTGGTCCCACAAAATTATCTGCTTGCTCATTTCCTACTGAGCACTGCTACCATGCAAGTTCTTGCAAAACCCCCCGAATCACTGATGTGCTCAGAACTGCGCTTTGCTGCAGAGAACAAGAAAATGCTTCACTTCTTGTAGGATCAGTGACATGACATGGAAAGGGACCTTATTCCAGTCAGTGGAGGTTTGACGTCTCAGAACGGCACAGGAGAATAAGTTTGATGCCTTAAGAAAGATGACACAAGGGAATAAGTGACCCATGGAAAGGTAGAAGATGGTGATTCAGGTTTTCCTCTGGACTTTTACAACTTTGTATAAGCACAAGCTTGGGGATTGTTTCCCAGGACGATCCACAACTATTTCTGAATCTCTACTGCCAAAAGCAGATTCCCTAAACTGTAAAACATATAAGCACTGGTCTCTTACAAATGTAATACAAGTGTCAACTGAAAAAACCTAAAAAAACAAGAAAAGAGAAGAAAAGAGAAAAATAGCTCTGCATATGCTCATCTGACCGTATGTTACAGGAACAACATACCACTGAGGCATACAGCAACATTGTCAGGCTTGCATTGATCTGTAACTAGTTGACATGGTTTATAGTTCAACCTTTACAGGTACTAACATTTTGCCTGTATTTTTAAGCTCTTATAGAATGACAAGTTCTGACTGACCTGTATTTAGTGGTATTTTTCCTAAGTTGGAAAAATTTAGCTTGTAACCTCCAAAATGAATGGGCCATTTCAAATTCCTGCTTCATTATTCCAAGTTGAATTACTCGCATTTATCAACCCAAAGTATCCTATGCTATTGTGCTAAGTTTTGTTGTCTCTTTCTGGATTTCCATATGACTCTTGACTGGCATAAACAAATACAAATTCTTCCACCGGAGAGTTTATTTTTCTGTTTTCAAGTGTCAGTCACTACTTCCCCAGCTTTTTCTCCTATAATGAAAAAAACTAAAATTATTATTTATTTCTACCAAGAGGAACCCTTTTTATAGGTGTCTTACAGAGAGAAAAATTTCCATCAAATAAACACCATCTTCAATTTTTATACATGGAAAGATATTTCAAAGAGTGAATATGAATAAAATCAGGAGAAAAATTTGTTAGAAAACAATTTCCAGTCATCTGAAACTACTAAATTTATGGTAAATATCTTAGGAAAGCATGGTGCAAAAATGGCTTTATATCAATCAGGCACACAACTCAGAAAAAAAAATAGATATATATGTATGTCAAAAATTGTAATCCTGTTGCACAAGTTCCCCGTATTACTAGGTGTTTAAGTTGTGCTAGACTTAGTCTTTATATATCCTCAGATTGCAATGAACTTGACTTTCCCTTTCCCCCTGTGTATATGCATATGCTGTTATTAAAAGATCAGAGGTCTATCCAAATCTAACTGGCCAATCAGATTATTGTGACCAACTTTCTGTAGTGAGTGACATGAGGACAGTCAGCTTGCTCAGTAACACTCTTGACTTGCTTCAGAAACCATTTATACATAAATAACCATAGATGGGGTATTTGTTAAGAAGAGTTTAGACTCACTATTCGCTGGGCTTCATAGAAGCAACAATAGCTTCTATGAACAACAACAACAGCTTCAACAATGCTAGAATCAGATCCAATATCTCCAACAAGGGTCAGTGACATGAAAGCCTGTGTCATGGCCCCTCTGTGAATGGTAAGGTCTTCCATCTAGGATGGCCAACACAAGCAAAAACTGCCAGCAAAAGAATAACTTTTTTTCCTTCTGTGCAGTGATATATCTATGTCCTTCTGGAACCCAGACAGAGAGTTTGATACAGAGGGTTTTTTTCTGAAGTCAGCAGTAATGTTATTTCATTAAAAATCAATGATAGTAACATTTAATTTTTAATCTTGGTATGATGTTGAAGTCTTTAATCACTCAAAAAGAAACATTACAAGGAACCTCAAGGTGTAGTGTCCCAAAGCAACTTGAACACAGGAAAGAAAATTTTTTTTCTTGTAAGTTTCAAGCCATACTGAAGTTGTGCTGAAATTTTGTGTGCCAAATCTCAGTCTAAAGAGAGCGTGGTTTTGGCTACAGTATAAGCCCTGGAGAATGGGAAGCAGTCTAGAGGAAGCATCAAATAACATTTTACTACTGTGTGGTGGAACATGTTACAAGAAAATAATTCAATAGGACCATTTCTAGGGTTAGTATTTTAATTAAAATAAAGAATACTTGCTTCTATCTTACATTCTACAATTATCTCTTCAAATTTCTCAGACATACATAATGTAAAATCAAAGAGAAAATAGGGTCACAAATCTTAGCAGACTTGAAATATAACTCAGAAACTTTGTGAGAAATATGGCAAATAAAACCAGAATTAATGATTCCATAAACATTTATTTGGAGGCAGTATTAACACGTCTATAAAGTATTTTTGGGCAATAAAGAATAAATAACACCTATTATTAATGTAATGGTAAAACAAAATGTTGCTTACCACACCTTTACAATACCCTAGTTTAATACATTATTAAACAGCATCCCAGAATGTATAACCACTGAACAGAAACTCCAGATGTAGAGATATTGCTGTGGTTTTATCAGCAGCAACATGGTTAACGCTAGCCCAATCCTGATCCCAGCGTAGACAGGGCCTTTGGTTTGCTCTGTTTCGGTTTTGGATGAATAATAACACTTATGCTAACTTCACGCTGGGCTTGGTTGTTTGGTCACATCACTTTCCAGTGGGCACAAAATCTGCCTCTAATGTTTGCACCCTAGCTTTCATTTTAAAGTAAATCACTGAGATGAGACCCTGCCAATTTAGTCTTGCATGCCACTTTCTTCAGCCAAACAGTTGTACAGATTGTCCCCTGCAGGGTCTTCCACCAAGAGAAAAGCAGGTCTTCTCCCACCCATGCCAACAAATGTTCCAGGAGCCTGCTCTGCACGTCCTCACTGGTTTCCCCAAATGCAGCTGTGGAGGGAATAGTGGTTACTGGCACCACACGTTAGGAACTTTTAAGGTGTGCTAGCCCACTTCTGACAGTAGAAAAACTCCCAAGGAGACACATCGCTTTCTTCATTGCCCTTCCTCTTCTCCACCTAGTCAAGTTACCCTGGGCAAGAAATTCAGCCATACCCAGCAGGTTTCTCAAGAAAGATGAGAAATGTAGCACAGACCAGCACTGGCTGAAAATGAAGTAAAAGCCTTTTCTACTCACTTAAATTGAAGGTGGTCTTCTCACTGCAGCCCAGGTCATATTGGTTTTGAAAAGGAATTGCTGATGCAATTCTGGAGGATCAGGCAGATCCATGAAGGGTTCTTGCCCTGTCTCCAATACCCATGGTCCCCAGGTGCTTACCACATCAGCATCCTTTCACTTGGGTAGTAGTACTTCAGCTGACTGATACTTGCCTGTCCACTGTGAAGATTTCTGTTATACACGATTGTGTCTCCCTCTAGTGACTAAATGTATTTTTGAAAGCCATTTTGAAAGCCCCAACATAATTTTTAGAGTCTGTAAAGTATGTATCTACCTATGATGTGCAGATTCAACGCTCTTATCTTTCATTCCTAATTATGCACCAAGGTATGAATTTGATTTTGCTTAAAACTGTCCAAATTTTAAGAGAGTACCAAGTAAGCATGCTTAACTCTGTATTTAAACAAAGAAGATAGTATCTGACCAGTAGGAATGGTCAATATTGATTAAACATTCATGCCATTTATTTTGTACTGGCAGCTAATCTATGTGCGAATATTTAAATTCAGTCAATGATATTTAACAGCACCTCTACTAAATTTATCTCTTGTGCTTATCACAGATATGAGGATCACTCTTTCTTATTTGGCAAGCTAGAAGATATCTACTCATCCTCACCAACAAAACAGTAGCCTGAATTTGGTTTAAAAGTCATAGATAAATAAAGGAAAATCATGACCAAAGTTTCATCAACTGAAGATGAGAGTGGACATGAGATGACTGAAAGCTTGAAACTTCACAAAAGGACTGACATTGACTGTTTTTTTCTCAGCTTATCCCAAAAGCAATAATACACTTTACACTGACAATAATCCTCTAGGTCTTTTACAGAAAAGAGGAAAAGACAATGTGATTTAAAATCTACAGAAACGGATAAAGTCCGTAAGTAGGACTAATGCCTGAGGCTAGAAGTCAAGTCTGTGAGGATTCTTGCATTATTCTTACCTAATTTCAAAAAAGTGTCATACTAGTAATTTATTTGGCCTGAGATATTTTTAGTTTTTAATACTAATAAAAGTCATAATATGACTGCAAAAGGTAGAAGAGAGGAGCCTTTAAAATTTTCATTACTCACTGTGTCCGTACTCTGGTTTCAAGTTTTGTTTTTCCTTCTTGGTCAGCTGCAGTTCAGTTTCTTAGCTCTATTTTGGTCCTGTTACAAAGTAAATATATAAACTTAAGTACATGACCCTCACCTCAGCATGTTTGTAGCTTCCTTTCTCATAGAATCATAGAATATTATTTTATGAATCATAGAATACGATTTCTTTATCATAGAACCTTAGAATTTGCTGAGTTGGAAGGGACCCATCAGGTCATGGAGTCCACCTCTTGGCTGTAGTGTAAATATGTGAAGCAGTAGATGTTTGGGGGTTTTAGCTCTGAAGGAAACAATTTTTTTAATAATATTTCCTTTTCAATCATCTACATTCACTGATTTAATTTTGCAGCTACCAAGTCATTGGCTAGAGCAGTAGTATGTCCATACTAGAAAAAAAAAAAAAAAACAGGGAAAGATGAAGTAATACCACCTGTTTATAAACTGCACAAATACTACAGCAAATCAACCGTGCTGCCAAAATCCAGCAAGTGTTGAGGTGCTCCGTCAGTAAAGTACACCCCAGCTCTGCCTGTTACCCTTCTTCTGCGTGCCCATAGGTGGCACCAGTCCTGTTCGTAACACCTCAGCCTGGGCCTACCGATATCCCTGCAGACCTCGACTGCGGTTTCCACCCTGGTTTCTTCCGTGCTGTCGGTGGATGTGTTAATCACCAATGTTAAATACACGCAGAAGCAACTTCAGACAAGCTAAGCATGAAACACTCTTCTATCTGCCACATCACACATCACTACCTGACCATACAGCCATATCCTCAAATGATAAGGCCAAAATAATACCAAATAACAGTCTGAAGAATACTTCTCAGGAAAAGTGGCTTTAAATATGTTAAGGTGTACATAACATTGTTCTTCTGGCCCTGCCTCTACCAGAGAGAAGCAGCAAACTCAGGGTCCCGAGGAAACCCATTTCAACAAAGTACACTCAAAATCTGACAAAGTGCAGCATTGACTATAATTTGTGCCAAATACCTTTGTAGATGTTAAGCACCCTGCCACAGATGTTTATTTCCCATCCCACAAGTTTCAGAACTTTGGTAAAAAGCCAAAATCATGCTGTTCAAGAATAAAAATTAGTAGAAATCCCCAATATTAAATTGTTAAAATATTTAATATAAATAATATTATCTCTTTTTTTGCTGTTGTTCTTAAATGTTCACACTTTAAACTATAAATTAACTAAATAATGTAATAAAATAATTGTCTTGAATTATAAAAGAGTAAAATATTTGTCTCAAAATTATCAAAAGGGAACATTTCAAGAAGACATTTTTTCCCCCAGAATTAGAGGGAGTTAGATCAGAACAGTAAGAACTGATCTTTCTTACAAACAGGTTCTATTGGTTTTTCCAATGTTCCTACATTTTCCAGAAGAGAAAGCAAATAATTAAAATTATATCACTTTTTTTTTTGTCCTACTACCTATTTCTCACAATCTGCCTATTTTTGCCTTCTTTTTCTATTTATTTCTTTAAAATTTTATTTTAATTCTGGGATCCAAAATGTTGGAGAACAGATGCATAATTAGATACCTCCTTCCATCCCTCTCCTCTCCAAACAGCGGTGTTTGCCTAGGCCTTACTACATCCAGAGAGAATTACAAGGAAGAATTTACGTCAGACACATGCAAAACTGGTACAAACAGCCCAGGAACTACCTCAACTTGCTCTGTCCACCTCTAAGCCCAGCACCTGAGAAAAAGCAGAGAAGAGCTGGATCAGCTCTATTATATCTATCAAGGGAAAGACTCATTTACCTAACTTTAGACACCTAAAATGAAGATGTGCCGTTGAAAGCGCCCATATAGTGGGGCTCAATGCTCAGTGGAGAGTGATGATCCATCTCAGTCTGAAGTAGTTTCTGTGGGTTAAACTGTCCTCCAGAAATGTGAGTACCTAGTGAAGTAGCCCACAGAACTAGTTTATACTCAGCATGTCACGTTTATCTGAGTGTAAAGACCCTGCACATGTACCCTGAATGAAGAAGCTGCTTTTGGGATACAGTGCACACAAAAGTAACAGTGTTTCTCCTTCACCTCTGTCCTCACCAGCCAGTTGCGATCTCCATGATTAGGGTTTTAAACCTTGGTCCATCTTTATGTCATTGTTTGGGTGGTTTGTTGCATCTTGTGATGCCCTGCCCTTTACCCTTCTCTTTAGCCACCAAGCAAAGATAAATATATACTGCAATTGCCAGGCTTTTCTTTATAGGCCAAGAAATATTCTAAATATACCACACTGTATATACTGTACCTTAACACATTCACAAATTATAAAGAATTTTCATTCAAAGAATTATAAATTATTCCTTTTGCAACATTACTGTAATTCACTTTTCAGTTAGTTTCTTTAAATTATTAGTTATTGCTCAACTTTTATTATTTAAAAAGAGATGCTTTAACACATTTCAGCTCTGTTAAACTACCTTTTACACATGAATTAGTGTGAATTTTATTGCTGTATTTTCCCAGCTTATTAAAAAAGTGGTACTTTACAAACAAAACTGCAGGATGGATTTATTATTTGCAGTCCTTGTCCAAGCTTTCACACCTACTTAATATGGGTAAAGTGTTTAGGTTTCCAATGTAGTCCAGTCACATGACTCAAATCAAACTTGCAATTGCCTCTTTGGGATTTAAAACTATTAGAGTTGTGCTTTTATATACTCTTTTGTTTTGCTTGAATCACTTTCTCATGTCTATGAAGTACAGCTGACACAATAAAAGTTTGATCAATGCATAACCAGTGGAATGTATATTTCTTCCAGATATGTAATACCAAGTTGAAAATTATTAATCTATGAAAATGATCTTTTTCAGCTACCTATTCTTGGAATTAAAATCAGTTTCTGTCTTGAGGTATATGGTTTGGCCTGGGACTTTCCAGTCTGAGCTTTTCAACATTTTCTTGTAATTTGCTCTATTAAAATGAATGCTATCCTGATGTAAAGTTTCAATTGCCAGGGCAGATTTTTTTTTTCATACTGTGATACTTGAATAAAATTATCCCGGCAATACAAGAATAAGCATTAGAAAAAGCCTATACAAGCAGTCTTTATTTCCTTACCAATTTAGCCTCCTTTCACGTATCATTGTCATGGATGCTATTGGATATTCTGAAATACTTTAGGCCTCAGAGTCATGCTTTGGGCATACATGAAATCAGCAAATTCCTGCAAAGAAATTTAAAAATTAAACATTCAAAAATAAAAAATTAAATTAATTTAATTTATTGAATTCAATTAATAAAAATTAAACATTTGGCAATATGAACTGGTCTTCAAGTTCTGGGGTACATTAACCTGGTAGATAATTAATTTTTGTTCCCTCAGATTGACTTAGTATTCTTCTCCAGCTAAAGCCTGACTCTTCTGGAATTGGTGGTGTTCTTAAATACAAACCAAGAATTCAGACTCTGGCCTTCAGGTAACATTTATGACACACTGCCTTTTAAAATCAAAAGTAAAAGAAAGTAAAAAACAGAGAACATGTCAGTACATACTTTTTGGTGCAAGATTTTCTAAATAATGTTGTATAAAAATATTGTAGGTATATACCAGTATAAATCTGTGGAGCCAGCTTAAACATGGTGATGTCAGATGTCATGTATTTCAGGAATTTTCACAATATTTCATGTTTTTCTCTGAAAGTTACCTTTCAGGGATTAAATTTTTACATTAGCCTCAGAAGCAAGACTGCAGATAAAATGGGCAATATTTGCGAATACGTTTTGAAGCCAACATTAGCAATTCAGATCCTGGATTCCCACATCCTGTTCATGTTATATGTAGTACATCCCATAGCACTGTGTTGTTCCAGAACATGATTGACTTTGTCAGGCATGAAAACTGTCCATACGCCATAGCAGAAAACCTCTCAGAGCCACACTAATATACTAAGGAATGAGCCCACCTTCATAGGAGTGAGTGGACTTCTTACACTGCCTACCCAGTAGGTTTGCTCCAATTTCATGTACAAAACAAAGTTTGTTTGTGGAAGTATGCATAAAGATGGAATCTCTAGTACTTTAAGATGTCTCTCCTACACACTCTTTATATATGTATTGTAAATAAGTTTATTGGAACAGAACATCAAAACAAATGTGGTCTGACTGAAAGCTACTGCTATAGTAAATTTGCCTTGTCTCAGTAGAGTGGAGGCTGTCATACTATCCAGAAGCAGACAATACTCAAATTTCTTCTTTCTGTCTTTAACTTAATTATGACATTCTGTATTCTGGAGCTTATATGCATATTTATAAATCCAAGACTTACATCCTGTTAATGCCTTTAAATAAATAGTTAATATCTACAAAAATGTCAAGCCTTACTCACTGTATCTTTAGCAACATGTCTTAGTTTGAAAGACACGTGTCTTCTAGGGAAGGCAGGAGCCTCCCTTGGAATGGAAAACGTGAACTCCCTCCCTCCAGATTTTTAGGATTTTGAAATTAAGGGCCTCTCAGGCAAAGATTCGAGAATAGGAATGACAGCTCTTTACTACTATGTATAACAAAGCAAACAACCAATAACAATTACAGCATTAACAACAAACAGAACCACGAACCCGGCCTTCTTGGCCGCAGCACTTCCCCCTTGGGTGCAGTTACGGTCACGGCCAGCAGGGGCGCTGTTGGCTCCCGGTGGGCAGGGCAGGTGCGGTGATTCCCCTGCGGCTGCAGGCGGCGCTCTGGCGTGAGTGTGAGTGGCAGAGGGTAATGGCGGCTTGCCCTAGACGGGAAGGGATGGCAGAGAAGCTTTGCTTTGCAAACCCTGGGGCAGTCCATCTCGGTCCCACAGCATGACTCATAGGAGCACCACGCTGGAGCAGCAGGAATGAGCAAAAAACCCGGACTGGTCAACGAGATGTATCAGAAGCTCTGTGGCAGTAATCGGAACTGCGGGATGTCCCAGCAGGGAAGGGAGAGGTGAGCTCAGGATCCCAGGCACCCGGGCAAATGGTGATAGGTCCCTCTTTTAGTGAGGCAGGTGTTAATAAGGTCCCAATTCGATGGCTGCTCTAGCAAGCAGAGTCTCACCCCACAGCAGAAGGAGCAGCTTCGGGCTCGGTTATGGCGGTGGAAGTGAATTCCTTTCCCCATGCAGCAGCTCTGACCGTCCTCCTCCTCCAAAGCCCAGAGAGAGAGAGAGGTAGCAGCTGCCCCAGCTCTGTGCTTTACCTGCCCATTTCTCCCCTTGGAGAGAAACTCCCAGAGTAGAGGAGTGCGACCAGACGCTCTCCTCTTCAGCGCTTGATCACTTCTTTTGTTTCTTAAATGCTCAGTCATTAGTGCTTCCTAGCAAGTTATGGGAAGAAATTCTGTGAGTGAAAAGGAGCAAAAGGAAAGAAACCTACACCCCCCACTTCCGGCAAGATAACACAATGAAGATATTTTGCATATTCAAGCATAGTCATATAGCTGGTTAATACTCGCTAGAATGATTTTCCATCTATCTTGTACATTGTCATCAAAAATAGGTGTAGCAAGAACATATTGCAAAGTGCAACATGTCCCATCTTTTTTTCTAGAACAAAGGATATACACAAGGTAAGAGCAATGATCATTCAAGGGAAGACTGAACTGGGAGCCACTGAACTGGGAGAAAGTCCTTGGAACATTCTGTGATAATCACTTTCAATGTATGTATTAAACAGTGAACTTTATATTTGCTAGTCAGATATGTCTAACAATTCTTCCACACCATGGAACTCTTCTTCTTGATTGTGTCTTTAATTAAGGCTCTTATTGTGTTCATATAACTCTGGAAGACCTGACTCTACTGTAACTGGTAGTAATCTTCCTGAAATACCTCAGTGATTGAAAAAAATGGCATTATTTGGCAGATCTCAAGGAGTTTTTCAAAAATACCTATTTTTTAAACTTTTACTGCTAATTGCAAGACATCATGTCCACATGACTTTAGGTATAGTTTCTTCTGTTCCCAACTGATTGCTCAAATCTGGCAACTTCAAACAGTAAATACCCTGGATTGCTTATCCCTTTCCAGTACTTAGGCCATAACAGTCCTCAGCCGATTTTGAAAATATATGAGGGTCTTCTTGCAACATTTACTATTTAGAGAGAAAAAAAAACAAACCACTGTGACTTATTAGTACAGCCTCAGCATTCTTGAAAATTAATGGACATTCGGCTCCCATATCCCTGCCAGTCCTGAGAGTGTTAAGAAAACATCCAGTTCTGACGATTGGCAGACACTTCAGCAGTCACATTCCCACTTTGACTGCTGGGACTGAAACATCTTTACAGTAGGTGGCTGCAGTGAGCCAATGGGTCGCTCGCTTTACCTATCCCAGTCATGCAGTCAGACCAGGTTTCCTTGGCGGTTCGACCACATGTTTCCCAGATGTCCATAAAGCAATTTATTCCCAGCACAGTAGCAGAAGATACGGCTGGAGCTGATGCCTCCGAGGAGAACTTCCAACAAAGGAACCTCCTCACAATCTGCACGTGGGAAAGTCTTCCTCTTCTTGAGTCTTTAGCTCCTGCTGTGTCTCTCAGTGTCCATTCCCCCACCTGACTTGTAGCCTTTGCACCCCTTGTTATGCAAAGGATTGGCAGTTCATGGCCTCTTGTCTCTCTGGGCTCTCACCCAGAGCTTGGTATGCATCTTGAACTGCAGTATACAAAACAAGCTACCTGCACCAGGTGTATTGCTGAACAGAAAGTTGGACTTTGGATGTTGAAAGTGCCGATCCATGCCATGATCAGATCTGCCTCAAGAAGAGGTTTTTTGCATCCTCCCAATAACTGCTCATTCCCACTGCTTCCCTGTCAAAGGCTAAAATCTCTCAATTGTGACAATACTTGTGTGTTAATATTCAAGACTATTTTTTTAAATTTCCTTTAAAAAAAGTTATTTCACATAAATTATAGCGAAGACCTGAAGCCAGGATAGAAAGGAAATTTCCTAAAATGATTTTTCCATCAAATGCTTTATAAAGCTGTAATATATGTTAGAAATAATTCATGCTATAAAAGAATGTATTTTATAAAGGTTGTGAAATGCAAACGAGTGTCTGACCACAAGCAGCCTGAGAGGCAGACTTCTATGCATACTCCAAAATTCCTGGAGTCGGCCAGATAACAATCAGCATTTAGCCCAATAATAGACACACCCAACATGATGATCGCCAGTATCCCAAGTCACTGGAAACCGCCTAAGAGCGATCATTGCCCTGTTGATAACATCGATCAAGATAGCCGAAGTCACCAGAAACATGCATGTGAATACGTGACTTCTCAGGATTCGATCAGCGCTGGCTATCAACCAGGAAATGGCGATTGTCCAGCTCTGCCCAGTGAAAGAACCAACTGTGAATATGCAGAGTTACAAAAGAAACTTGGACTCCTTCACCTTGGGCACAATAAACTGTATAAAACATCCCTGCTAGAAGCGACTCTCGTGAACGGCGGGGGGGAATCGATGCAATAGAGGTCGGATCCAGGTTCACCCAGCTCTGAACCCGGGCTTGACGCTGTCTCTTTGGCTGTGGTGGTTTTGAGGACTGTATTTTGGTTGTGGAAAAAGGTAAATAAATCTTTTCGGATTTTTTATAATTTGGCTTTTGATTGATCATTTATAACAAAGCCTTGTAGTGTTTAATAACCAGAAATGTGGGGTTCTGTCACCCTCAGCCCTTTCTTACCACCATCACATCCCAGCATGGGAGGATGAGAGCTATAGAATGAAATGCTTTTGTCACTCTGACGTATCTCATCCTCTGCATGAAAATATGTTTATCCCATCTAGCTCTTGCTATCAGTCTGAGACTTGGTTTGTCAAAGTTTAGGTCCGTTCAAATATTTGCAAAAGAGTTCCCTAGTTTTGATGGTGAAAAACTTCAGCATCAGAACTTCAGGCACAACTGCAAGTTGGATGGTGTGTCTGCAAAGCTTCTAACACAACATTCATGTAGGATAGCTGCCCTACATTTCAAATTGTGCTGTTTCAAAGTAAATTACTTTCCTTTTGCAGCACAATAATTAGGGTTATTATTTATACAACACTGTCAATATTTGCAAGTACTACAGGGATACACACAGAAGACAGACTTATGGAAGGATTGTTAATTTATTTTACCAGTGGCTTTACCAATGGTTCTTTGGCTCTTCTCCCTTTGAAGAAAGAGGTATGAGGGAAAGATGTACTATATGTCTTTCTATCATTCTTGAAATTAGACATTTGTATAAAGACCTACAGCATCATTTTTAATGCTCTACTCTCCGAAACTGCTGCTTTAATCAAGTGTAACATAGGAAACAAGGTGTACAAAGCTGGAAGATAACACATTCAGCCATGCTTGGCCTAGTATGTCTTGACTCTCACAAGAAGGCCAGAGTGGCAGGTTGTGGAGGCTGAAAGTCAAAAACTTAGCCATCATAAATGCTGTATGGTGGTTCATGCTCAATATACCTTCCCACCTAAACCACTGCAAAGCTTTTCTCATGCACAGCCGTCATCAAAAAAAGTAGAGCACAGCTGAACCTCCATTCTAGTACTTATCTAAACATCTGTGCTGAAGCAACCACCAGAGAAGATCCTTAAAGTCCCTGGTGTGAGGAATAGCTACTCACTTTTCATAGTTTAGGAAGGTTTATTAAACCTTATCAAAAATACAATAGAAGACTAGAGAAAAATATTACGGCACTGGGAGCAAAAGATTTTCCCTGCCATGTGCTCTCTCCCCCCACACAATGGAGATTTTTCCCTTTTAACCCTTTAACCCCTCCCAAAGTTCTGTTCATCAACCCCTTCTTCACTGTTCAGCGGTGGAGATCTCTTCCTCAAATCCTGATTGGAGGTCAGGTGTTGCCATAATGACAAGCTGACCCTCCCAGATGTCCCAACGCCAGATGTCCCTTGGTAACAACACAAGGGGGTACAACATAACTATAAATCTATAAAACTTTTCTTAACCTATATACATGATATTTGTCTGTTAATTGTAAGAGTCAATCATCACATTACTCATCTATCACAATGGTAAGTGTAATTATCTTGGTTTTTGGCCAGATCTTTGACTAACTAGAAACTCAGCTCCCACAGGATGACAAAAGACCACTAGAAAACCTCTTGCCAACTCACATGGCAGTGTGATTTGGATGAAGTTGCAAAAATTTGTGTTAGGGAGCTTCCTTCTGCCACAACCAGTATTTCTGGACCCCTCAAGGTTTTTTCCCCTGCATGTGGTATACATACATAAGGCATATATGACTGGCACACTCAGCCATGGCAGGCATGTTCATGACTCAGAGGGAAAGCATCCATTTCAGCCTCAACTCCTTGAAATGACAACTCCTTCCCTCCATTTTGTCATGATCTTTCCTTCCTTCAGAGACTCGGTATACCATGCCTCATCAGTGGATGAGAAGGGAAACCAAAATGTTCTACTGCATATGCATGAGAACAAGACCTAATTAACCAAGAATGAGAGGTGGGAATTGGTTGTGCAAGACCTAGATGAAAGACTAGAGCCTTGATTTCTCTGCTCTTCTCTGTGAGCTGTCTTCACATTCAAATACCTTCTGGTGCTGTGGTTGAAAGAAAATTTCTTGAGGTTAAAAGAAAACTTTACCTTTGCTGGAAGTCTCCTGTTAAGTCTGCTGTTGCTGGGAAACTCTGCAGTCTTTCCTCAGGGCTGAACTCTGTGGTCTTCATCTTTAATTGGCTTTCCCTTGACCCCTCCTATATAAGGCTTGCCTTGTCATCACTCAACATCAGAGTTTTTCCTCTGTGTCAGAGAACACAAGCTGCTGCCTTACTTTTCTAGGTCCAACTCACATGCTCAAAAGTTTCCCACAACAACAGCCCTGCCATGTGGAGCACATCTAGGAATTTGTGTGTTATGGTGTATCTGTCAGTGGAGAAATATTTGATTGGGAGGATATGCCTCCAAATCCTATAGTACAATATGAAGTTGTTTGCTGGGAGTAATTTTTCAGGCTCTGGCCACAGATTCTTTTGACTTAACCTGATACACTTTGCACAATTCACTTTATTTTCTCTCCAAAGCAAAAGAAACTCACTCTTGTACAGACCTTCTTGACATTATTCCATCTTTCAAATGACTGATTGCATCATCACTTTCTATTTATTTCCTGGTAGGCACTACTGCAACACTTTTTAAATTCTTCCTTCCCCTTTGGAACCTGCTGCTCAACACAAATGCAGTCAAGAAAAATCTCCTAAAGGAATTGTTCTTCCCGGCTTCTATTGTGCTTTTGAAGAAGCACCCTCACAGTTGAAAAGTGAAGTAAAGAAGTCTGGGCCATGTGGATACTAGGGGTGTGTCATGAATGTACCCTAGGGGCCTGCGATCTGCTTCAGTGGTAATAGCACAGCTACATGGGATGACTAAGCTCCTGACCCTCAGGGAAAACAAGAATAATATTTTTTTTTTTCCATCTGAATATAATTTTGCTGTGCTGATATATAGACTTTGAATCTTTTCACTGTGTGCTTCTTCTTGCACAAGAGCACCTTTCAGGTAGGGTTAATTGTTCCTTGTGGTGGGACTTTCCTTTTTTGCATGAAATATTTTATTTCTTTCCCAACAGCATCCTTCATGTTTCAGATTGCTGCCTCATCCCAGCTGTTTATGGACACCCTTTGACTTCTGCTGTTCTTGGTACCCATTACTAACTGGTAGGTAGTCATCCAGCCCATGGCTTTCCATTTCTTAGGGGAAATTGTTTTACAGCATTGACTTCATCTGTGATTCCTGAAGTTCTCAATTTGCTATGCAGTAATTTACATTCTTCTGTAATCCCAGTTTTAGTTTATTCTTCCTGAATTTTGACTGAGCAGTGGTATTCCCTCTTGTCTCGGTCACATACATTTACACTGTCATGTATGTTTTCACCTCCTGTCAACAGTCTTGCATCATGCACCCTTTTCCCAGGAAATCTTGTGCACTGATAACAGGCCAGCAGGTGTTTCCTACCAAATGTTGTGGCTGCTCATCTCTTCTTCCAGTCCCACTTACCTTGCCCAGGGTGGGCAGTTTATATTCAGAATACGCTGCAGGGTCCTGATATTAATAGAGCCTATTGCAAAGGGAGCTTATTCTTTTGCAAGGATCAGTAAGTGTCCAGACTGTCTTTTTTTGTACCCACCTTAGAGGTTTGACTACTTTAAATCACACCCTTTTCTAAGACACTGAGATTCCTTTGCATCTCACTCATAAAAGTAGCTGCTGAAATACCTAGTTGTCAGTACCAGAAACTTGGGAGGTCACTTATTTTTGCAGTTTCCAGTTTTGCCCATGTTTCTGGACACAAAAGTTCCTAGCTGCTAGAAAAATATCATTTTACTTGCCTCTGATATAGAATGGATTCCACATGTATAAAGTTTTTTATGAAGTGACACCATTTTTCTGTGTTAGGACTTATTTGACAGCATGTCAACCACATAGAGAGATCCTGACCTTTCTCTTTGCATAGTTCTCCAACAACTGGGGTTGCAAAATTCCGTATTTCATCAGTGGAATCCAAATGGAAGCTGTCTTTTGTCCTTCCTATGTCTCATAAATATAAAATACTTTTTCCCCGGCTGTTTATTGAAAACTGAATATCACAGGTTCTCCTTTGGCCCTATGCAGCTAATTAGACTAGGAAGCTAGCTACATTGTTATCCTTCTCTTTGCCATGTGCTGTAGCCAAGAAGAGTGCTGTGTCACTGCTGCTGCTAGAGTCTCTTTGGGGGTGCTCTCCAACTGCAGGCACCAACTGCACTGTACACCCTGTGCTTTTCTGTCTGCTTATGCGTCATGCTTCTGCAAAATGATTTACTTTGTTTTTGGACTCAAACAGCCTTGCTAAAATGCAACTCTTTTGGTAAAGAGTTGCTTTTTGCTTTACTCTTTTAGTAAAGGTGTAATGAAACATTTGGACCTCATGAAAACAGAATGTTTTTCTATTTTACAGGGAAGTTTAGGAAGAGGGTGAACAATTTCTCAGCTGTTGAGTCAGCATTTGGACAGTGAGGTAAGTAAGGGTGAAAAGGATCTCCCTAAATGGCCAGAGCATTATTTTCTTTTATCACAGTTTTGACAGTCAGAATTGGAAATAGTGTCAGAATGCAAAGCTGCAAATAAAGGCAAATGATGCTTCAATCTAGATTCAAAAGCAAATTCACAGCTGCCTGTGAATTAAAACTAAGAGCAGCTCAGTAGAGCCCACATCTCTCTGCACTTCTGGCTGAGGGGGTACCAAGCAATCCTTACCTGCCAGGAGGATAGCTGTGTGCTCATGGTGCTGAGTCCCTTAATATGCCACCCCAACAGGCACATCCCACATGATGGTGAGCACCTACATAACACAGTGCTATAGTCCCAGACCAGAGCTGCCTCATATGCATCCATGTCCAAATGACTCTCTGCCCGGGCTTGATTTTTAAAGACTGCCAAAGGGTGCAGACAGAGAACTCTGTGGGAATGGGGCATGAGACATGATTTGCCTCTATTGGTCCTGAATGTGCTTGAAAATCTCTTTATGTTTCAAATATAATAATGAATTTGGTGAAAGTCAGTTTGATTATTTGATCCTACAAATGGTTTGATTATTGCCTGAGATGACATTCCTATGGGGCGAATTTTATTTATGCTTATATTTTCTGCTGATTGTTTATGATGTAATTGACTATGATAGAATTTTAAAAATATATTCTTCTTAAAGGATGACTATAAAACTTATATCTTCATCTGTAGTGGTAAGAAGATTCTTTTAAATAGCATTCTTTACCCATATTAGTTCTTTCTTCATCAAATATTTCTTCACAAATTCCTTCTTATTGGTATTGGATTTCATAATTGAAAATAATAATATTTTAGAAAACAATATTTTCTCCCTTGGTAATTGTTCTCAAATACTGATGGTATATATCGGAATTTTTGTAGTAAACAGAGAATTAAAATTTACTGATTGGTAGGGAGAAAAGAATAATTTTGCTTGCAATCCCACACAGTCATCATAATAACAAATTATCGTACATTGGTGTAGGTATACAAAGGAAAAACAGGGCTTTCCTCATTTCATAACAATGATTACATTTTGAATTATGTTATACACCTCTAATAAGATAGGGGCATCTTGAGAGGTAATTAGCATCTGCAAATCTCAAAAAAATATTGGATTAAAGTTTATAATATATTCCTGTAGACTTGAGCCCAGTTTGCACTCAGATTTTACAAACTAATGATGGTATACCAAAAGGTACAATATTTGTATTTGTAAAGTGTACATTAGCTTAAGCTTGTTCCTGGAACAATATAGAATTATACTTTATTGAAAGTATAACTGCCGTTGTACCATAGTTCTAATAGTTGTAGTTAAAATTTTAAGCTTAGTATAAAAAATTAAAAATAAGAAGGAAATTGACTTGCTATAGTGCTGCAGAGGAGCTAGAGAGAAATTGAACTTCACTGTACTGTTAAGTGTGTCCTGATGGCAAGTGATCAACAACAGTATGCATTTCAATCTTCACAACACTTGCACCAGTGTCAAAGTGGCACCCATTGGCTGAAATCTGATCAAAGCTTTTGAGCAAGGACCCAGTGAACTTATAGAGGACTGTTTTAAGGCCAGCCAATTCCACTCTCAGTAATCTTGAAGGGGAGATTACTGAGAGTGGAATTGGATCAGTCTCAGTAGGGGAAGTCTGAAGATTTCCTCTAGATGTAGTGGAGAGAGCAAAGTAAAGTGTCCCAAAAAGGTACTAGGAGTCCTCCACTGAACCCCATGAAAACTAGCTCTGCTATGACACTCTGAGAAGAGCACTGGTAATTAGCCCACAGATATTTTTTGGCATCTGGGTATCTCACCTGAGAGACATACACAGCATCTTCAATGTCTTCTCAAATGTCACTGAAACCTGGGACAATAGCTGTCCATTCAGGTATGCAGAGTGGAAAGACTGGTTAGATGCATACCAAGAGCCTTATCTACAACTGTGTCCAAGGAGGAAAATACAGTAGCACAGCAACCTAGAAAGCTAATCACTTCTCCTGGGCTTTTCTGGGCAGCAGTGAGTTTGGCTTTTCAGCATTAGGAGTTGATTACACAATGTAACTAGTAAGATGGGAAATAGCCCTGTCCCATCAATCACACAGAAAGAAGGCTTCTTGCAGGTTCCCTGCAGCACCAAAATCAGGGGATCTGCAGCAAGTGTCCTGCCTTAAGATCTGACTGTACAGAACCATCAATGAGTTTCATGGTTGCAGTGACTCAATGCAGGAATTAAATGAATGGGAAAACCAGGCAGAAAAAGTGATTAAGAATGAAAAGCAAGAAAAGAGTATTAGAACCTCCTGCAGTCTTAGTATCTTAGACCACATATTTGCACTCCGTTCTTCCAACAAAAGACAATTATGAGCTTGCGCGTATGCGCGCACACACTCTTGCTTATTCTATGCTTTTTTGCCTCATCTGGCAGCCGCTTTCCGGTCCAGCAGACACTAACATCTAATGAGACAAACTTCCCATTTTCAGACTAATCAGTCGGCTGCACTAATTGCAAATGCAAATATGCAAATTTATATTAATTAATTACTCTGCTAATTAGTTCTGCAGTCTTTTTGGGGTAATAAATCATTGTGCAGTGGAAGGGAAACACGTCCTGTCCCATTTCACTCCACATAAAAATTTAATGTACTAATTGAAGGAAATATATTAAAAAAACCCAGATTCTGACTCTACTGATAGGTTCCCTTCAGAAAGGTATGATTGAAAGAAGTCTTGCACATCCCCAGCAAATGCCATCACTAAGGTGCCTGTTAGCAATTTAATTATCACATTATGGGCTCCAGGAAAAGCCAGTTTGCTGTGCTGCAGGCTGTGACTCTGAGCTCCATAACTGACACATTTTGCAGCAAATGCTGTTTATACATCCATGAAAGATAATATGAGGAAAACACTCACTTTGCTCTACCTGAATATTCTGTTAAGGCTTGCAGTTAAATCTCAGGAATCTGGATCTGCCATATAATTCTGTTAGGGCTTGTACTTAAATCTCAGGAATCTGGGTCTACTCTGTAATTCTGCAGCTTCATCAGATCACATTTGAATGGGTTGTTCAAGGAAAATGGAGAGTAGCTGAAAAAGAAACTTCTTGCAGAACCCTTCCCTGGTCTTGAATTTTGCTTTGTCTCTACTCCATTTCACCAGGACTTTCAATTCCCCATGTGACACCACCTCGCCCTTGCAATGCTTACCTTGCCATTCCACTGCCCTTCTACAGATGTTTTGCCCAGCCTCAGGAGATCTGTAGTCTTTCTTCCCCACTCCAATATCTGCAAGGTGCAGCGAGTTCCCTGCACTGATTTAATGCCCCAGCAATGGCACACAGGACATCATGCTCATAGAACCTTAGGTACCAAAGCCTGACAAGGTGTGAATGTCAGTGTGGAAGGTGGGGCTTATTGTATGTTTTACTTTTTTTAGAACATGGGAAAAAATCCATCCTCATAGCATAATAAGCCCAACAACACCTGGCTGTAAAAAAATAATGCCCTCATCAAATGAAGCTACACCAACTACCAGCAATGCTGTAGCACGCAGTTCATTAGAGGCATTCTTGGAGCCAAAGACTCTCCTAAGCAGTTTAGAAAGGCATTAAGCAAACTGAACCCTTTTCTGTCACGCAAGTTCAGGCTAACTGGAAATCTTCCACAGCTCCCAGGTTTTTTCATCTTCCTTACTTTTTTTGCCCCACAGTCATGTGCCATTGTATCCATTAATGTGAAACGTCTACAGAGCATTTTCTTGAGAGTTTGAGTGTATCTTAAATTAACCTGCCTTATAGATGTAGGTTGCAAACCAGTCAAAGTTGTTGTAAAAGTCAACAGAGGAGTTCTATTACCAGAAATTCAGACAACTCACATATCATAGTCTTCCATTATTTAAAAAAAAAAAAAATCTAAAGTATTAGCAAATGTTTATGTTTTAAATTGAAACAATAAATAAGATTTATAGGTAATTAAATGCCAAGGGCCTGTATCATTCTAGATTCAACCAGAAGTTGAACTGTATACTTTTCTCATAGTTTGAAGCTCTAGGATAGCTTACTTTTTATTTATTTTCCTATCCAAACACTGGAATAAAATACTGTTATACTGAAAACCTGAAGTCTTATGATTTAGGCTCTAGGAAACAAAGGAAAATTAAAAACCTCTTAAAATAGCTAAAATTGAAAGAGCACTTTATAGAACAGCCAAAGACAGAATTTATTTTTCAAACACTTGTCATTTTTGTTTGAAATACTAATATACACTAATGGCTATACCATTAAACATCATGCAAATTTAAAAATGTATTTAAAATCAAACCACCTTTGCTCTTTGTAGATTTGTGGGATCCTGGAGTCAAAAGGTGTCCAAATTATTTGTTATAGAGTGCAGGCCTCCCCACCTGCTGGGAGTTTTTTAGCTGCCTTTTTTTTAAGGTCTACAAAGTTTCAGAGATTAATATGTGAAGATTTTAATAGAATTAAAAAGGTGCCTCTTAAATAATGAATAGATACAAGATGGTAATGTTCTGATTGTCAGTAGTGTGCTCTAAAGTTTTACATTTAAATTTTAATTGTACTAGGACATGAGATGTAACTTAAGATATTTGATAAAACCCATCCTTTGATGGGTTTCTTTTTATTAGAAAGCTTCAATAGGACGTGCATATTTTGCAAATTGAAGTAGATTTTTCTTTTTCTTTTTCTTTTTCTTTTTCTTTTTCTTTTTCTTTTTCTTTTTCTTTTTCTTTTTCTTTTTCTTTCTTTTTCACCTTCTCTTTCTTTTTTTCACCTTTTTTTTCACCTTCTTTTCCACCTTCTTTTTCACCTTCTTTTCCACCTTCTTTTTGGCCTTCTTTTTCTTTTTCGTCTCCGTTTTTGCCTTCTCTTTCTTTTTTCTTTTTCTCATTGTGTTCAGAATACTTATATACAGTGAAAAAAAAAGTGATGCTAGTAAAGCTCCATCATAATATGTTTATGCCCT